AAAATAATTTTCAACATCTGGCAATCCTTATAAAAATATGTAGTTTCAACTTTATTCTGTTTTTTACCTAAACTGTAATAATTAGATTTTTTTAATGGAAAAAAAATATTTGTTAAAAAAGTGGCAACTTCATCAGAATTATTTTCAACTGCAAGTGTGCTGCTCGTCTATAGTAGTTCGATTGTCATACCAACTTTATTAAATTAATATTTTTGAAGGGGTGGCAACTCTTCTAAAATAATATGTAGTTTTAAACAAGAGTTTTCTTAAACCACTTTGCTCAAATGACCTTATTGAATTATCTTTTCAACACTATTTCACGAATCTTTTTAAACAGGTGGCAACTTTTTAAATAAAAATAAATATTGTCTAATGCAGGATTTTCTAAGTTTCTTTGACTCAAGCCTAAAAATTCAGTCATCTCAACAACTTTTGTAAAATTAGAATTTTTAAACATATGGCAACACCTGTCTCTTATACACATCTAGATGTGTATAAGAGACAGCCGTAGCATCGGTCAAGAACTGGGTATGAGTCATCAAAGAAAATTTTATGAACAATTGGAAATTCAATAAAAATACCGCAAGCTTTTTTGACAACCTAATATATAAAATTTTTTTTAAATTTTGTGATATCGAATATAGTTTACCAAATCGTGTTTAGTGTTTAGGCTTGTAATTTTCAAACAACTGGCCACCCTCTTTAAGCAAGCCTCCGACGGAARTCTTTCATAAACATTTTTAGTTCCATATTAAATATTTGCCAAATTTTTAATTTATTTTATCAGTTCAATTTCGTATTCAATTCTTCAATTTTTTTAAAAATTTGTGTAGTTTTAAGATTTAACGGGCTTAACACTGTTTTTCCCTATATTTCAGTAATTCGATTATTGTATACGTACATTTTTTAAAATATTTCTTTGAAATTGTGGCCATTTCTTTAAAAAAAAATATTTTCGACTGGAAGATTTATTAAATTAAATTTATCAAATTAAATATCCATATTGCAGTAATTTGATAATTTTATACATTTTTTGAAATATTTGGTTGAAAAGGTGGCAACATCTTTAAAAAAATATTTTCGACTGTAAGATTTATTWAATCAAAATTGTCAAGTTTATACTCACATTGCACTAATTTCATCACTTTATAAATGTTATTAAATATTTTTTGAAAGGTGGCAACTTCTTCAAACAAAAGATTTTAACTACAACATTTTCCAAACCTTTAAAGCCAAATGCTAATGCTGAGCAGTTTCTATACTTGTTTATAAACYTTCGCTAAACACTTTCAAACCATTAGCAACCCTTTTATTTTTTAAATTCGAAACTAATATTGCAAAATATTATTTGTTTAGACTACTTTTCACTAATTTGATTATTTCAAA